CTCAGACTAGGATCACTCACCAGAAGTTTCGTAGCGATATCACGAAAACTGAAGAAATGAGAGGCAAACGTATTTCCTTGGCGTGATGGCGATTTTCGCCATGCTCCCAAAGCCCCGCCTTTTTTCGAAACCTAACTGTACTGGATACCAAGTGACCTCAACTTGTCTACTGCTATTTGCCAGAGATTCCTATTGATTGGGTAAAAGGAGTCCAATAGGGAGATGTGAAAAAAAGAGTGGCGTGGCGAAAGGTCAAAGTTTGAGGCTTAGCCACGCCCACACCTTTCAACTTTTGAAAAATCCGACGGTTGAATTTTTTCCCCTTCGTCTTAAGAGTATATAGCAGAAGTGTGAAAGTGATTGGTGAAAAGAGCAACGGAGCATCACTCTCCAAACAACGTGTGCGAAAACCACTAAATTGCGTACTTGGACCAAAATGGCCGACTTCCTGTGCGACTTTGCGCTTGGCTCCAAGAGACTTTTTTGTAGGTCCTGAGACACCACATTAGTGTACCAAATTTCGTAATCCTCAGTCAAAGCATAGCTTGGGGCTATTAGTTTAAATGGTCCTAGGGGGCGCTATTTAAGAAAATAGGCCACGCCCACAAATTTCAGATGTCTATGCCGCTTGGGGGTCAGACTAGGATCACGCACCAGAAGTTTCGTAGCGATATCACGATAACTGAAGAAATGAGAGGCAAACATACTTCCATGGCGTGATGGCGATTTTCGCCATGCTCCTGAAGCCCCGCCTTTTTTTGAAACCTGCCAGTACTGGATACCAAGTGACCTCAAGTTGTCTACTGCTGTTTGCCAGAGATTCCTGCTGATTGGGTAAAAGGAGTCCAGTAGGGAGCTGTGAAAAAATGAGTGGCGTGGCGACAGGTCAAAGTTTGAGGCTTAGCCACGCCCACACCGTTAAACTTTTGAAAAATCCGACAGTTGAATTTTTTCCTCTTTGTCTTAAGAGTATATAGCAGACGTTTCAAGGAGATTGGTGAAAAGGGCGACGGAGCATCACTCTCCAAACAAGGTGTGCGAAAACCAGTAAATCGCGTACTTGGACCAAAATGGCCGACTTCCTGTGCGACTTTGCACTTGGGTCCAAGAGACTTTTGTGTAGGTCCTGAGACACCACATTAGTGTACCAAATTTCGTAATCCTCAGTCAAAGCATGGCTTGGGGCTGACAGTTTTAATGGTCCTAGGGGGCGCTATTTCAGAAAATAGGCCACGCCCACCGGATGTTCACATCAGATCTTTTGGGGGGCCAGACTAGGATCACTCACAAGAAGTTTCGTGATGATATCTTTAGAAATGACGAAATGGGAGGCAAACGTAAGGCCACGGCGGTACGCCTGACTTCGCCGCGCCGCCACAGCCCCGCCCTCTGCCGAAAACTCACATAATGTGACGCCAAGCAACCCCCACTTGTCTTGAGTTACCAGCTACAAATTTGTGGTGATTTAGTGAAATGGGGCAATTTGGGACCTTTCACAGTAAAACTTAACCTTTTTGGTCCTGAGGGGGCGGGGCTTGTGTGATGTCATCATGCGACCATTCAATTTACTTTGTGAGGTGATGACGAATGACCACAGAAAGTTTGGTAACTCTATTCCATTCAGTTATGAAGTTATAGCAATTTAAAAAATTTTGGCGAGTAGTCAAACTTCGAGGCCTGGCCCCGCCCCTTCAGTATTTACGAAAAGTCAATTTTATTGTCTCATTTTGTTCGCCCATGTCTTCTGAGCAATTTTACACAATTTTTGAGATGATCGTGCAAAAAATGATCGAGCAATCCAATCAGAAACGGACCCTAAAAACGGCCAAAACTGCAAAAAATCGCCATTTCAACCCAAAATGGCCGACTTCCTGTTTGATATTGACCATGCTTGCAAGAGACTTTTCTGTGCGGACTATTGAGTACTATAAGTGTACCAAATTTCATAACGGTACGATAAACTAAGCTTTATGGAGAGGGTTTTTTTTCATTTTCTAGGGGGCGCTGTTCAGCCATTTTCTTTGCGATTTTTTTGGGACCTTTAAAATATCTAATTTTTCACCAGGCCTGACAAGTGTGCAAAATATTGTGAGTTTTGGGGTATGTTAAGATCCCCAAAAAGCCATTCAAAGCGGCACCGGAATAATAAATAAAAAAAATAATAATAAACGGAGCAAAAACAAGAGGCCTTCGCAGCGCTTTCGCTGCTCGGGCCTAATAAACGGAGCAAAAACAAGAGGCCTTCGCAGCGCTTTCGCTGCTCGGGCCTAATAATAGAAAAACATCTAAACTTTCTCCTCTTCCTGTTATACAAACAAACAAACCTACGAATGTCCTTTAAGGAGGACATATAAACTAAAGGTTATTAAGAGTTTACATCATTTTACTGGAAAGGCTCCATCCTACAATCATCAAAGTCTTTTCAACAAAATAAGATTTTATCCCGTCAGAGCATTTCTAACCTTTGAGTTCGAGGGATTTAGACATTTTACAGACTTAATTAACTGCTGCTGATCTTATCTCTTTGTAGCACATTAAAAAGGTTTTATCTAACATCAGAAGATGCTTGTGTGACGCATAATGACCAAAGAAAAGTCCTCGCTGCCGGACTTTTCACTGGGATGCATTTTAGAAAAGTGTTTTGGGTTTCTGGGTTTGGGTTAGTGTGTCTTTAAGCAGCACAAACAAAAGTGGCAGACAAATATTGTAGAGAATATGTTGGTTTTAGTATTTATTTGAAGTAAAATAGGATATTTTTTTGTACCCTTTGGCAGGTGTCGTCTCTGCCAAAGTAAATCTTCACTATTAAATATGTTGCTAAACTATTCGTCCTTCTTGGATCGTTGGGGTTTCCTGCTCAGGTCAGATTTCAGGGAGTCTCTTTGTGCGGGTTTATGCTTTAGAAATTGATTCATGCTCTTTCTTTTTGCCGTACGCTCTAAACTAATCAGATCCACCCTCTGAAAATGCGCAGAGATTCACTAAAAGCTACAAACGGTGAAATGTTTGTTTTGTTGATTTTTTACCCTACGATCTTTACCAGACGAGACATCTGATCAGAACACTTCTGTCCTCTGTCCGTCGCGTTTCGTGTGGAACGTTATCTCATCCGTTTGGCCGTGCTTAGTCAGTTTCCTGTGTGGTCTGTAATGGGCTGACTCGACTCCTCGCCCGCTCAGTGCTTTTAGGAGAGAGATAATGTCAAACAAGTGCTGACTCACAGGGTCACTGTCCAGCAGTTTAAAGCAGTCGTGGCTGCTAAAGTGCATCTCACCAGGTTTGCAGAATCACTGCAGCAAACGTCAGAAGGCTTCGTTTTAAACTTTCCCTGTTTTAACAGCCTGAGTTTGGGTGGTACAGTTTTAATTGAGACAAATTAACCACAGTTTGCTTTCTCAGTCGGACTTGGAGGAAAATGACAGTAGATGTGTGGATTTGCGTGTAATTTGTGTTTCTACAGGACAGCCTTGTGTCGTATCTCCGTTTGGCAGCAGTGACTTATGAGAGCTGTCAGTCAAGCTGGAAAACTTCATCTGACTCAGAAACGCGCTCGTGTACAAGAGAGATAAAACTCTATTGTTGCTCCTGAGGCAAACACAATGCCAAAATCAGCATTTTTATTTGCAAATGTGTCATTATTTTCACCCAGAGGGATTGCGTTTTAGTCATTGTTCACCAAGAACCATTTTTAGTATCTGAAGATCTCGAGGAGGCTTCGATGCTCTGTTGCCACTTGGTGTAATTTTGCTAGTTTTTGTTTTCAGGGCTGAAGTTATAATTATTATTTTACCTGTTAAAAGGTTCCTGAACAGTTCGTTTATTTCTTCAATTTGAGGTCGTTCAGAAAAGAAAACACTTAAAAATGACCAAAATATCTCCTTAATTACAGATTAGCCAAAACCCTGAATGACTCATCGCTTTTGGAGCTTTTTTTTTATAGAAACTCAAACCCACACGTTCCTGAAAATACCTTTTGTTTGTTCTTTTTAAACCGCTCTAGTTCTGATTGACAGTGATGGAAATGCGTAACCTTTGTGAAAGTGTTTAAGCAAAGCCTGCTGTGTTTTAAAGTGCCAAAAATGAGAAATGATTCTCTAAAAAGGCCTATTTACCAACAGAGCTTTCACCAGACAGCAGCTCACAGCTCAGGCCTCCTGTTGAGGACTGACTCCTGCCTTCCAGCAGCAAATAATAAACTATTTTTTCAATAAAGTCATGTTTATGGGAAATAGCTGCCATTCCCCCCTGTTGTAGTCATCCTCCGGCTAGCTCCGAGGAGCACCGTCATGGTAACAATGTTGTTATTATGATGGAAACGACTTATTCTGTGTCTACTTTTCTTTGTGTCTGTTCATTTTTGTATAAAGCAGCTCTGAGCTTCATGACTGCAGGGGTTCGGACTGAATCTCCCGTCAAACACAGATAAATCTACTTAAACTGAGCCAGAACCAACTTGTTTCCTACCTTTCATGATGAAATGATAAATTAAAATGTTGGTAGATGAAATGTGTGCTTACAAAAAGTTTTTATCATAAATATCTGCTCAGAAGAAAGAAGGATTCATTACAAATCAATATGAGTCTCTCTGGAGATGATGCTTTAGAGGTCTCAGAGGGCCTTTAACAGGATTTTATAAAAGCTCCAGAAATATTTCAGTCCAGACTAAATGAATGGACTCAGATTCCCATCATGGGACTGGGAGTTGTTGTTCTTCAGCTTAAAAAAACATTGAATAGAAACATTTTGCTTTGTGATCATTACAAGTTTAAAACTATTCATTCACTGTAATTACACACCCAACCAGATGTCCTCTAAAGGAGTTTTCATGCAGAAAACGAGCGTATATCACGAGAATAAATACATGTACTTACCTGCTGGCTCTGTCAGTCTGAAAAGCTTCAGTCTGGTCCTCACAGGGACCAATAACAGCTCACTCTGATGGTAAGAGAACGGTGCATTCATGAGTTTCTGATTGAATGATGTGTTTGTTTCTGTTGCAGAATGCAGAAGTTTCTGTGTTTGAGGTAAACATCAGGTTTGTCGGAGGTCTGCTGTCCGCCTACTACCTGTCTGGAAAAGAGGTAAGATGCTTCCTGTTGTGTTTCTGCTCACCGGATGGGAGATTTAATTGATTTTACCGAGTCTGAGAGGAAGACCTGAATTGTTTTAAACACTCTGAAGGGTCAATTCATGAAAAAAATAAGGATTTTGTTCCAAAAGAATCCACTCTGATTTGTTTTTATTTGATTCTGACCTCCAAAGCAGTTTTCGTCATTCAGCTTATTAAAAAAGATGTTTTAAATAAAAATAAAAATGTGTTTAAAAACATAGATGATGCTTTTAAAAATAAAAACTGAAAAAAATTCTGCATATTTGCTGAATAAATAAATAATAGAGGAATAATCAGAAGTGTTGCTGTGCGGTGGCAAATCAGTTACATGACAGTCTTTTAGTAGACACTCAGACTCAACGGCCCGCTAAATAAAATGCTTCTTTTTGCAAAGCATAAAATAATAAATCAACTTTAAGTGTCATGTTTTTATAAGTTCATCTAAGGGAAGGTTTAGTGCCCTCGTTCACTAATCTCCATCGTCTTAGGGCTGAACGAGCCACATGCTTTCTTCAGGGATGGGGCAAGTTGAGCTTAGACTGAAGGCAAAAATGATTTCCAAGTTCAGTGAACATTTACCAGCTCAAATGCACAAAATCTGAAACATAATTTCCTTCGAGTCAAGTGATGGATGTAAGGGTTGCAGCATAAATGCGGCTATAATAACACCAATAAAAAGACAGAGAGAGAACTCGCAAAAACTGTAAAAATGGAAACGAGACGGAGGAAATGGAGCATTACTTTACAAGTACTGAACTCTAGGACAAAAGCACAGTCCCTAATGGCTGTACACACTTCTCATTACGTATCTGGATATTTCTAATCATTTTAAAACAGCGTAGAAAAAGCTTCTGGGTGTGGAGACATCTATCAGCAGTCAGAGGTGAAGTTGGTTAGACAAAAAGATGGCATTTCTACTTGTTTTTCCAGACAAGTGACTCTATAATGTCATTACATAAGGCAAAATATATTAATTTAAATATTATGATAATCCCTGACTTCTTTAAATCCTGTAAGATTTACCGTAAAACCCCATCTGGGGCAAATCCAAGGTAAACAAAAAGCTATAAATGTTGGCTTTTATTTTATTTTGAAAGGTAATGCTCTTTTCTTCCCTGTTTGATGCTGTTTGGTATTTTAAATAACTCCGAGGTCTTTACTGATGGTCAAAATCAACATAATAACAAGTATTTTCCTAATATTTCCTAAGTATTTGCCTGTGTTTGTGTTAAACTCTGGTTACTTACCGAGATAAAAATAATGTAAACCTTGAATTATCGAGAAGCCGACACTTAAAAAATATAACACTAAAGAAAAACTATTTTTAAATATCAAAACTGTCAACAATGAAAATAGAGGAACTCTTCGTTAGATCACTATCTAGCCTTTAGGTTTTCACTCGGCCTCAAATCCATTCTGTTTCCCGTCAGAAACTCGAGTCGTCCTTCCTTCAGCTCCAGGTTACGACCCTCTGGTGTGTGTGTGTGTGTGTGTGTGTGTGTGTGTGTGTGTGTTGGGGGGGGATAAATGGCTGCTGGACGGCCTTGAGGACCGATGGTTTTTGATTGAGAAGATGACTAAGTGCTGCAGGTGGTCTGGCACTGAATGAAGGCTGACATGTGGCCTGAAAGGCTGCTGGGTGGAGCTGCAGGGACTTAAAGGACATTGGTTCATTTCAGTAAAAGACTGGAAGAGCTCATACTCGCGCAATCCTGGAAAAAAAGTTCATTAACGTAAAAGCCACCACTTCATTACACCAGTCAGTCAAGATGGATGGACCAGAAATATTCTAATATACAACAAAAAGGATTGTTTTAGCTCGGTGTTCATTAAAAATGTTTTTGTTCAAAAATATTTGTTTTAATAAAAGAAACATGAAGGCTTTAAGAAAAAATCTGTTTTGCATTTTTCTTTACTTGTGACAAAAGTTGAGAGTTTTAAATGATCATTTGAATGTAATGATCTTAACTTTTTCTAAATGTTTTAGATATTTTAGCCGTTTCTTTTTTTTCCCAGTTGTGTTCAGTTTCTGCTTTAAAGGTGTGGGACACTGAAAAAACATTTTTAAATGATTATTTCTGATTATAATGAGTAACTGAGTGTTTCATGCAGGCTGAACATGAAAATAGTCTCCTACACCTATCTCCTGCAATAGCTTCTGATAGAAAAGAGATGGTTAAACTCTAGGATAGGAAAAATCTGTCAGATCTTCGTCACTTAACATTCATGGTCTCACCCCTCTTGACTCAGAACGAGGAAGGCTGTTGTTGTTTTAGCGTCCAGAGGGGGTGTTCGTTGCGCGGAGTGCTTTCCAGCAACGCGTCTGTGTGCGTGTGGGGGGATCTCGTAGGTATGGCGCAGGAATTTCAGCTGTGGCACAGCGCCACGCCCGAGCCTATGGAGGGGAAACACTGACTGGTATAATCCTGCCCCCCTTACGACTTACAAGGCGTTCATTCCTCTGCAAATGTATTGATTAAACAAGTGAATCACTCCTTTAAGAAGATGGGGACTAAAATGTTCTCTGCCAGGAAGTTAAAATGCAAGTTAGTCAATATGAGGTTAAATTCTCAAGAAAATTCAAACATGCCTGTTAATTAATTACATAATTAAAAAATCCAACCGTCCATCCATCCATCCATTTTCATCCGCTTATCCGGAGTCGGGTCGCGGGGGCAGTAGCCTAAGGCGAGAGGTCCAGACTTCCCTCTCCCCAGCCTCTTGGGCCAGCTCCTCCCGGGGAATCCCAAGGCGTTCCCTGGCCAGGTGAGAGACATAGTCCCTCCACCGTTAAAAATATATGATATATGATATATGTTCATTTTCAGAAAGAAAGAAAGAAAGAAAGAAAGAAAGAAAGAAAGAAAGAAAGAAAGAAAGAAAGAAAGAAAGAAAGAAAGAAAGAAAGAAAGAAAGAAAGAAAGAAAGAAAGAAAGAAAGAAAGAAAGAAAGAAAGAAAGAAAGAAAGAAAGAAAGAAAGAAAGAAAGAAAGAAAGAAAGATGTAGCACTTCTCAGGATAAAAATCATGAGGCGCTTCATAAATTAAAAAAATTACTGAATTATCATAAATGATCATATTTGATGGGTCAGATATTCTACTTTATGTAGCCAGAATATTTCTCACATTCATACTGTGTCACTTCCTGCTGTTAGAGCGGCTGTTTAACCCAAAGAAAAGACTAACTCTGCCTCCTGTAGCCCTGGACATTGTCTGCATTTGTCTGAATGTATTCATCAGCAATGGCAAACCTCATCTACATCAGAGCCACTCCAATATATTCAGTAGTGAGACTGAAATAAAAGTATTGACATTTTTGTTGTATTTCATTCTTCAGATTATGCTAATCAAACGTGAATGGAGCAGGTGGACTCTGCTGTGTGGTTAATTTGAGTGGAAAGTTGTCATTTAGTGAGTAAATGGGCGTATGGTGTGGTGAATTGTGCCCTGCACATCAGAGAGATTTTTTTTTTAAACACGGGAAGTGGCATAAATGCTAAAAGCTGTTGAACTGTCAGCTGAAGATGATGCTTCAGTGAAAGTGTTGAGATTTCAGAAATGATTCAAAAGCTCTGGAACTGGAAGTAAGCTCTCAGCGCCACTTAGCGTTTCACGGTTCAGCCACTTTCTGTCTGATTTTCCACAGACTCGTACAGTCGTTGTCAATTAAAAGGAAATAAAACAGTTTTTAACTTCTACGTCCAAGTCTACGACTCTTTGTGCTTTATGTTGTTTTATTTTTAGTTGTAGATCTTCAGGTTCTGTTTTAATACTAAAACCTCTACTGGTGCTGATGTTGGGCTGAGTTAGTCCACAGCTGTCCAGTGATCAGATATGTTATTGAATAATCTGTCAGTTAGTCACATAATTCCATCATAGGGAAGTTTTTCATTTTAAGTCTAAAACTTTTTTGTCTTGGGTAATTTTTTATGATTTTTCTCCACATTTATTCCTGTTTTTGCACTTAAAGCCTGAACTTCAATTCAAAAATACTTTATTAATCCCAGAGAGAAATTGATTAAATAAAAATGCGACAATAAAAATGGTCCCTGGGAAACACAAGGCAGTACGCACTCACAGGAACTGAACAACGCATTAAACCAAACATTTATGTGTCTACGTTTCATTTATAGTGGAGGTAATCAAGTTGCTGCAGGAAAAGTCAGAACATTCTGCAAGCAGTCAGAGCTACAGGTATGATTTTAGGAGTGGGGACAGGGTTTTTTTTCACACAGCGTTGACTAAGGAGTAAGACAAACTGGGAACAGGTATCAAACGAGAGTGACTCATATTCTCTCTCCCCGTTAGTTGTAGTCTGGCTCAGACTCAGAAAAACCGTCCCTTTGTTGGAAATTTGATCAGTAAGTGTACAGCTAGTGCCGGCTGCACGCACCCCCCACTGGCAGGCTTTTAACGTCCCTCCCTCCATCCAGATCACAGTGTGCAACCTCATCCTCTGAAGAAAGGAAGAAGTGAAAGATGGTGGGGTGCAGGTAAAGAATGTATGGAGTGCTGAACTAACTAAAAGGCTTCCAGTCATTCTGCTAATCAGAGCTAAGTGCTTCAAGTAGGGAAGGACAGAGAAAGGACAGGCCGCGGTGAGAATAAAAGGTGCAGGGAAGCAGTGCATGAAGGGAGATATCGTGCGGGAAAATGAGGGGAGACACCTGAAAGAGGTGTTGATGGATGGAGGGAATAAACTGAGGAGAAGAATCAGTGATCGGAAAAGTTCAGGGGGGAAAAGGAAAATCAAGGTGGAAGGGCAGCATTTTATTCACAATCAGTTTTTGATGTCTGTGAATCAGCATCTTTGGTGAAATCCAAGTTTACAAAAGGTTTTTTATTCTTTTCAAAGATTTCTGTTCAAGATGTAATGTAGGATTTTTGTTAATCCTGAGTAATCTGGTGATTTAAGGCAAGTTTCATTCTCTATAATAACTCAGATTAAACCTTCCTTAGAAAATCTGATGCT